TCGAAAACACAATTATAAAATAACCACATCCAAAAACATAAATAAATAAATAATTTTCCTTAAAACAATCTGACAGTTGACCGCTGACAACCAATCAATCAATAATAATCAATCTTATTAATAGTAGTAATGCGAAAATTTATTTATGTATGTCAAAAAATACCTTCAGAACGGTTTGAAGGGATTTTACATATGCTGGTGGTTAAACGTTGGTTTCTGTGGTGGTGAGCGGTTGTGGGTTAAAGACAGTAAACGCTGGTGGTTACAAATGATTTGAGTTCAATGTAGACGATTGCAGGTAGATTCAGATAATTGAAGATGTATGCAGATTGATATAGATGAGTGCCGGGAGGTGCTGTTTTCTTTTATTTTTCCCAAACCCAAACCTGGTAATTTAAAATGTTTTAAACATAGCCTTACGTTTCCAGTTTTTATACGTTGATCATTTCTTAAAGTTACGTTATTCGTTATCACGGTTGAATGTGATTAATTTTATACTGTAACCTCTACTGTTGGTAATTATTAATAGTAACCGAAAATTATTTAAGATTTTAATTTATCTAATCACAATTACCGTAACATAAGTATCAACGAAACTGAACGAAAAATATGGAAAGCCACAGATAATGAATATTTTGGCTATTTTTGTATGTTTATTAGAATCCTATAAGAAAATATTTACATACAGGAATATGATGTGACATCAATATTTGGTTGTTATCAATAAGTTTTGCAAAATACTGCATTTGCATTTATTATTTCTGCTACTTGGACGCAAAACGCCAAAAAAGCTCTTATTTTCTTTAGGATATCTCAAACTGTTTCTCAAAAAACCCAATATAAGAAGCAAGAAGTCTTCAAAAAGTAGATTAAAGAATAATACTTCAGAATTAACTTTTTTTAACAAATAACATATATTTCATATAACTTACAATAATTAAATTACTTATGAATTAAAGAACATACTACTTGAATGAAATGTAAAGAGTTTAAAATGTATAAATATAATTTCGATATACTTGAAATAACACTGTAAATACGTTATAATACTTTTAACAAATAACATAGATAAAAAACAACAGGCTTAAAATAATAATAATATTTCACCTACAAAAAAATTTAAAATTAGATAAAAAATTAAAAGTGGCAACTATTGAATTAAAAATAAATGTTTATTCCCTATACTTGTCTAAGATTACCATCAATATTTTATATACAAGCTAACTTATTAGTACATCTATTTTTTCGGATTAATGTTAAAAAAATAATTAAAAACCTGCATTGTCATACATATTGCATAGCATTACTCAAAAAATCCTATCCTCAAAATAATACTGAAAAATTCCATCAATCCATTAATGCCATTATGCACGGTTTACATTTGGCCAGGACAGTTGGACAGTAGCACATGCCGGACATGGTCTGATTGGCGCACTGGTGCCAGTTAGTCTTATTATGTCAATGGTATGCCAGCGCTGATTTTTAGCGCTACTGGTTTCATATTTACGTAAGACAGTGACTGCCATGATACTTGTAATTATAGAAAATGTAGACTCTTTTTGATAAACAAAACGATAGGTACAACAATACATAAATGTCATTTGAGTGGAGTTCTACGGTTACATTTAATCTTCGAAATGTACAAGAGTTGTATTTTCTATATAAATGGTATCAGCTTTTCTAATTTCTGAGGGACGTAGACAAAATGGCGGAGGATGGGACCAAAATCCATTCTCTGTGCACACAATTGAGGGTTCACCTAGTACTTGGTACCCTTCATCGCATCCATAAATTAATAAATCCCCTACTGCATATTTTCCATTCTTAGTAGACGCTTGTGTCAATAAACGTCCTTTTTCAGGCACAATCGGATTTGGACAGTAAATAGCTAGAAAACAAGAAAACTATTAATACAGTACATTTTTTTTTAGCTTATTACAATTTTAACATCCATCATTCTATATTTAAAATATTAATTTTATATGTTCTTAAAAAAAACAGGCGATTTAAGAACCTCCTTTTGAAAGTGGTTAAAAAGAATCTCTAGAGTATGAGAGTTAAGCAGAACCGGTTTCAGTGTAGTGCGCAATTAAGCGACAGTCCTGGGCTTTAAATAGAAGAGGGCGTCCCAGAACTGCGTTAGTCTCACGTAAGCATCCCTTAAGGCATAATATTTAGAGTCGTAGAAATCTCACTTGGCAAGTTGGTAGCGCTAAAACCGGCACTGTGTTAAGTGAACAAAAGTATTGAGTTAATAGATCTATTACCTATGCAATGTGGAATATCTCCTGACCATTTACCATCTAGTTCACACTCGAGACCTGGTGCACCGACAAGCCTGTAACCCCAAGAACACTGGAAGACCGCTCTCCCTCCATAAGAAGAATTGTATTCTACAAGACTTAAATGAGGCCCTAATGTTCTTAGCATCGGGCAGAAAGTTTCTTCACATGTCGGAGGCAACGCAGACCAATGACCTGTACAAAATTTTGTTCAATTTAGTACTGTTTTGTGTCACATATAAGCTATTATTTAAAATATGCTAAATAAATTTAATATAAAAAGCTAATGTGTAACTCACCATTACCCATACAGTAAACTATGGCAGAACCGTTCAAATGGAAGCCTGGTTGACAACTGAAATGAACGGAGTGGCCAAGTTTCCATCCTTGGGAGAAGAGGCGAATGCGTGGCGATGATACATTTATCGGTGGACAAACGACACCTAGAAACGTAATTAATACATGTAAGAAAAAAAAATTGCTCAAGGTCCCTCTTAAATCATCAAATTAACCTGAAGCAAATTCAAGGGGAAAAAGAATGTCTTTTATGGTCTTTAGATTAATTTCAGATAGTTTCAATGTTAAAATTGATGATGCAAACATTCAAACATGTTTGTAATAAATCTATGATTACAGCTCGACAAAAACAGAAACCCGCATTCAGAAAGAGATAGTTATATCTTCAAACACTAGACACACATTCCTTTGCCATTTTGTACTATGACGCATATTAAACCCATCTGAATAGACAAATAACAGCTGTAAATATATAACTAATTATACATAGTCCTCATGTATTGTAAATAAGACTCACTAACAACTTTTATGATGATGGTGTTAGTATGGCCTCCGGACGAAGTACACGTGTACTGATCGCTGTGACGCGCCGACATCTTCGTTAAAATCAAACGATAGTGTGTTTCTTTCTCACCATCGTCTGTCGCCCAAGCTGTAATATCCATTACGATCCGACATTACGCCAGTTGCGGCGGAATGACTGGACTGTCTAAAGTAGAGCGTCCCACCAGTCACGACCAATGGTACCGATTAGCATTCACGCTGTACCATTCGATGGTCAGTCCAGTTATTCCCGATCACGTCACTGACCGCCGACTGTATTGGCTAAATGTGAACCACCCATTATTCTATGTAAAATTAATGATCGTATGTGTCTAAGCTTACATATTATGATGAAACTTTGGTACAAAGCACACTATTGTTGGTTTCTGCCATAATTATATGTATTAACTAAACTGTTTTGCTACATCTTAGCAATTTATTTTAAACTTTTCTAATACATGTAACATTAGAATGCTATTAGTTTGATTAGGACATAAATAAAAAGTATATTCTAAAGACTGAATGATTATACATGTTATGTAAGTGTAATGATTAATTTAATAAATAATAATTTAGTTATTAATAATGATAGAAAATTATTAATAATATTAAATTAATCACATTTACTGTAACATGTACAATATAGCAGATTGAAACGTAGAAAATAATTACCTGCATTGTGCTGTCCTAAGGCTTGTGTCCAACTCCAATCTGGGTCACCCGTAACACGGGGAATAATGCAATCAAGCCACAGTGTACTTTCTGGGTACACAAATAAATCACCAGAGGGTTCCACAACTGCAGAACCACTAACAACAACATATTGAATTGATGGTGGGGCATCACCTAAAAAAAATCATTATTAAGAACAATCTACAAGAGCAATTTGTCTAAAAATAATAAATGCCAAAATCTCACCTGTAAAATTAGTGACCAATGTTGTAGGAACACATTCAGGAAATTTTGGACTCCATTCACCATTTTCACATCTTACTTGGCTATCACCTTTCAATTTGTATAGGCCAAAATGTTTACATTTTGATGTGACTACTGAACCATGAGGGAAGTATGTTTCCTTCTGTTAATAAAATACCAATTATCAACCTATTAGTAAAAATATCAATTTTTATAAACAGTTTAGCTATGGGTTTATTTTATTTATACAAATAGAAAAATAAAGTTATAATTTGTTGTCATATTTATTTTAAATTAATAGCAAATTTATTAACTTAATAAAAGCACATCTCCACCGCTATTGATGGCCTTAGTTGGGTTTTAACAAATTAAATCTCAAACAAAATTACTTTTATTGCTTAAGAGATGCATATCTAAAGATAACTAAAATAATGCAAGTTTATATTACCTCAATCGATGAATTTTTAAATGAAATTGATAATAACTTGTAGTCATCCCGGTAGAAACATTCACGTAATATTGGCTGGAATCTCCCATCTGAAAAAATATCCTAATGTTATTCATTTAACAAATTTAAAGATTTTTTTACAATATCTCAATTTACCTGCAGTAGTAGAACATAAGGGGCCAACCCAGTTCCCATCTATGCATTTAATTTTGCATATTAATCTCTCATTTAATGGACCGATAAGCCCTGGGAATTTTACCTGAAACGTATAATCATGTAGACTTAAAGACACAGAAATTATAAAAACTAACATAGTTAAAGTTCAAGCTAACCTCAGAAATTTTAGAAAAATCAGATCTGAATCTGGTAATGTCTAGATTATCATCAATGCTAGTGACATCAGGCAAAGAACATTTATATTCATCTGAAAGAAGAAACATAATTATATGTAGATGATAATATTTTGATAAAGGAAAATATATTGACATGCAACATAATACTAATGTGTTTTGACAAAATGGGAAGATAATTGGGCTAAAAAGATATACAATGTTAATCAAGAGAGCAACAGTAAGGGAATCTTTTACGATTTAATTTTTCAAAAGCGTTCTATTACACTACTATTTCCTGTCCTGTAATGTGAGTTTTCTTGTCGCATAATAGTGAAAACTTAATAATTTTACCTTGAGGTACAGTGATATTTTCTTCAGCATTACATTTAAATAAAAATACAAGCACGATCACAAGGAGAATCATTTTATATTTGCTTTTTGAAAATCAATATGGTATGTGGTAAACGCTTTGTGTACAGATTTTATTTATGAGCCAGGACAATTCTTTAACAAGAGCATCACTGGCACAAGGTTCTGTCGACTATTGAGAATGATTAGATTGGATAAGATTGGACTAGGAGCAATTTACTAACCACAGAATAATAGTTCTGTATCTACGTGTCTTGCAGTATCGTTGTAAGAAGGAGCGTTGAGAAGAGAAGACGACACCAAAAGTAATTCTGACTCTCTTACTGTTGTGATTGATTTTCTTTAGACTTAGAAGTCTTTTTGTCCTTAGAACTCTAGCTATTGAATACTTTAGAGGTAAAAATTTAACAATACGTGGAAGTTGAATTTTAGTACATGTACGCTCAAAAATTGTAGTTATGCTATTTTTTAAGCAGTTCAAGTTTAGTTCTTTAAAGCACAGTACGGCTACTACACCTCGCCTGCGCTTTATTGGTAGGTAGTAGGTAGTAAAAACAGGATCAATAAGTTCGTATTGTACATGATATGCAAATGCATATTTGCATATAGCAATATTCGAAAAATTTCCGAAAAGTCAATTGTCAACTTGATGTCAATTCCACGAGGTCAAAGTAAAGCTCTATTTTGTTTCTATTTAAAAGGATGTTATGACGTTTTGAGTCACATCAGGTATTAAGGCACATTTTAAATTTTGCACAGCCAGCAGAAAAATCCTTAACTGCAATCAGATCTACGGGTATTGATATTCCCATTTTTGGCTATTATTAGATCTTACCTAACAGTGACCCACCAGTTATCTAGTTTGCAATCTGACCCCAAGAATTAATGTAAAGCAGTACATTGTTCTGTCTATTGTTGAAATCTCTAGTCGATATCAAATACGAGCATATATATTAGGATACCTTAGGAGTTAAATAAGAAATACATTTTTAAACTTCATATATTACAGAAGCAGAGGTTTACAATAATTAACTTTAATAATAGCATAAAATTTAACAATCATCCAATTTAGCAAATATGTTAACCGCCAAGAGTTCCATTTTACTAAATATTTTTTTCATATTAGCAACATTTAATTTTCTAACAAATATTAATCTTCTGTTTTTGAAGGTCTTAAAGTTTGAACACTATAAGACATACGTAACAAGGTCTTGCATGCCAATATTGGCAATTTGTATAATTAGTTAAAAATATGCTGTCAATTTGATGGTAACATGACATTGTAAGAAATTTAAACAAGACTATAAAATTGTAAATTTAAAAAACTTATTTACTTAAAACTAATACTCATATAAAAAATCTAAATACAATATAACAACTTATTAGAAATAGAAAAAGGCCTCTAATAAATTGTCTTATTAGTTAATGATATTGAATATAAATGCTTGTGAAATGCTACATTTGAGAATGCTAGGCATGTTGAATGCGATTAAAAATAGAGTAAAAAAGGTCATAGCCAGATTTATGAAAGTAAGGTTTGTTTCGGGCATGTTGAGAGTTTGAGGTAATATTGCTAGTTTGCCTAATTTTAGAAAAGTCAATTTTATTTAGTGATCTCTTAAAGATATAGACATGTTATGCGACAAGACGATGGGGACATAAACCAGAAAGTGTTAAGAATGAATGTGGATGGCTACAATGGAAGAGGAAGACCGAAGAAATTATGGATGGATTGTGTGAAAGAGGATTGCTTAAGAAAGGAGTGGATTCAGATATGACGGCTGATAGAGATGTATGGAAGAGCAGCACATACTGTGCCGACCATCTATAAGGGATAAGGGAAAGTTGATGATGATGATCTTAAAGGTATGATTTATGCACAGATGTACATAGCTATTTGTAAATTTAAGTATTTACCTGCCTAGATTATTAACAAAAAAACAACGAAAATAAATGCAACATATTAAAGTAGAAACAAATGAATAATCTATCTATATAGATAAATTACAATAAAAGTGTGCATCTAAATTTAACACTACTAGGATCTGTACCACCAAATTGTAAATTGTCTAACGATGAAACATGTTAAATATGTAATTGAAATGTTGGGTTTTGTTCTCTTATCTTACAGTGACATCATTTTTAAGCTATCTGAGCCTCTATCAGCCAGTGGTGGGACAGGCCCTTAATGTATAATCAATCTCATTTGATCTATTTCAATACTTTAGAGAATATTTGAATTGTGATTTTCTAATATTTCTAACATAAATAACTAGGTTATATTAAGATCAATATAGCTTATAAAAAATTATAACTGAATTAAATTGCTAAAATATACTAAATACAATCAATAGAATTGAACATGTATTAAAGATTGCATTCAATTGACATAAAATACAATTAAAACATCCATACTTTAAGAGAAAAATGAATATAAAAGATGCTGTTAGGCACTTGGAAAAAATAATATTCTAGGACTAGTCAGTCTTACATATTAAATGATCACAACTTTTTTACATTTTATAAAAAAAATAGGTTATATTTAAAAGTCATTGGGATAGAAATGTTTATTTGTGCTTACAAGATTTCTTTTATCTCATTGGCCTGGTCGAGATAACCTATATTTGTATAGTTATTGGCTGGATTAATTTTGAACAAATGTGTTTTTTTTCCAAAGTGACTAAGTTCATATCAGTTAGTATTATTTAAGTGTCGAGTAAGTATCTTTATAACCTTAATACAATAATTACGAAGTATTAAGGACGTTTGATTGGATGTTTTAGATGTTTATTTGTACATATAAAAAAACATACAGACGACTTAAGTACCTCCTTCTTTTGGGAAGTCGGTTAAAAAATGCAACTAAAAGAAAAAAGAAGTGATTCTTAAATTAATTAGTATCTTTCTAAGTAGAGGTGTGTAACATTATCCGAATGCATATTTTAAAATACATTCTACAAAAAAAAATATACAGAAATTCGACTTTCCCAGATCTTAGTACATATAAACAGATCTTACATTGTGTGATATAAATTAATATATTAAATGTACATGCCTTATCTAGCTCAAGCTAAGTACCTTTCAATGTCACAGACATCTTGACTAATGAATGTTGAAGTTAATTGTAAACAATAATGAAATGAAACATGCAATAACAGTACAATCAAAATGTCAAAGGCAAGCAATATAAATGTTCCAGATATAGTAAATGTTATTTAACAATGAATATAACATTAAATTCTATCAATACACTTTATAATTAACAGCTTATAGCTCAAAGGATGCATTTCCTATAATTAGACTAATAAAAATATGAAATTCCAAAATACTTAAAATTTAAGAGGTTAAAACAGTTTAAAAAAGTTTGTAGAGATATAAGATATATAGAATCATTAACATATTGTCATACCACTAAAACAGTTAACACTTTCAATGCCACTATGATTACTACCATCAAAATTTAATATCAATTGGTGGCACTGAACTTGTTAAATAAAGTTACATTCAAAATCTACAAGACTAGAGGAGATTAGAGATATCAAAATTCACAAAATCTTACAAAAGGAGAATGTTTTCTTAAATACAAATATAAGTGGGATACAAAATTGGCAAGCTATACAATTTGTCTGAGAAGAGACTTTACTAAATAAGAGTTTGTACTGCATACCAAGAATTGAAATGGTTAAAAATTCCAATAATTGCCTGCCTTGACACAGCATAAGGCTCTTACATTATATTAAAAAAGATATTTCTATGAAATTTTACAATACATTTTCAAAGTGATATTTTAAATGTAGAGACTGAAACAGTACATTGCTATGGGACACCTATTAAAAATTGTGCAGCACCTATTTAGCTAATATTAAGATATTATACACATAACATTAATAATAAATCAACACTAACACAGGTGCCAGAGAGATCTTTTACAACTTGAACAGTAAATTATTAAGCATTATTTATAACATAGACACTTAATAACATTTATCAATACTAACACTGGGTTTCAAAGAAATCTAAGGTTCGCTGTCTTATTCCTTCCATTTGTCTATTTGCAACTCCTTATATTAGTATTTTTGACAACCCAGAAACCAATTGAATATGGTGGCATTGAAATAATATTGCCATATCTTATACGATGAGGCAATAAATCAGGCATTGTGTTCTCATAGTATAAAGGCCAGCCGTTAAGCAGTACAATTTTAGTTTTCCTGTTATTTGAAGGTGCACTAACTATATACTCATCAATGTTTAAATCCTTGCCTTTAATAGCTGTGCCATTCAAAAAAAATCTGGCTTTCTCCATTTCCAAATTGATAGCATATATAGTTATAGCTGTTGTATCATTGATGTATTTTCGGTTGGCACAGTGCAAATACATTCTCTGCATAGGTGAGCAATTACAATCAATACGCAAGGCTTTATTACCTACAAGTTTCTTATATAATACACTAACCCACCAATCAGGTAATGGCATCAAATTGTTATCCACTAAACTGTAATTACCTCCAATGAAACTCTGCCTTATAACAGTTGTAATATTGTGTTTAGCGCAAAGTCCTAATTTATCAACCCATAACGGAGTGCCAGCATAAGAGTTTGACAATCCCGGAGCACCTCCACCATATGAGCTACTAGTCTCAGTTAACCACATTGGTATATCATTGTAATTCATCGTATTATTTTTCATAGTGATTATCTGATCACTAAGTAAATTAAATGTTTTTGGATCCCAGAAATCTTCGAGTTTAGCTGTTCTACTATTTAAATAATATTGATGCCATGATCTTATATTAATACAATTAGAGCCATTACCAAGAAAGTCAATCATGTATTGTAGGCAATTATGACAGTTTGGCTGAGGTCTTGTTGTGTCCGGACCCACCAAAATTGAGTTTTTGTAGCCATGATGGTCTAACACATGTCTTAATTTTTTGAAATCATGGACTAGCATCTTTGGAGTCACAGTAACATGGAATATATGGTGTAGAGAGTTAGGCTCATTGCCAAGCTGCCAGTCGACTTGATATCTTCTTTGCCTTGAATATTCAAACATCTCAACAGCATTGTCACTGTTCCATTCATGATTATCGCGCAACAGTAAATTAAGTGCAAACAAAAGTTTGATACCTGTAGCATTGCAAAATTCGTTTATTTCCGACCACTTTTTTCCGGTTAAAACAAAAAACGGTAACTCTTTATGTTTACACATCTTTTTTACAGCATGGCATTCAACTTTGGAAATATTAGATGCACATTCATTGCAAGTAAAGTGAGGATTATCTTGCGAACTGAAGATGAGTCGATCTGACATTGTGCCGCCTATTCTCAAATGTGCTGGTTTTAATGCTGCGGCAAGTTCTCGAAAGCGATGTTTACTAAAGTCTATTCTATCGTAATGTTGTAGTTCGGAAGCGTCGATGCCGATACTTAAAAAGTTATCAGGTAGAATGGTTTCGATTTCTTGATCTTCATTAATTGTAATGTAACACCTTTGATTGCCATAGTATTTTACAAAGTAAAGTATTAATCCTATGTCACAGAAAATTGCTATTGCACAAATTATTGAAAGACGTTTACCGCAAAACATATTTTTAAAATAAAATGTCTTCTACAGGCAAGAATTACTGCTCACCTAATTAGTCCTTCATATAGTTATAACAAATCAACCGTAACATACACTCTAAATACAATTCAACAGCTCAATAATTTCATATATAATAAAACAAAGAGCATATAAGTAATAAAATAAATGGCAATGACAAATACCATCAGTGTTGCCAATAAAAATTTTACCCGGTCGTGCACATCGTGTAAAAATAAAAAAAGCCATGTTTAAATGGGAAAAGATCACCGGTGGGCCGTATCACCACTAAAAAAAGTAAAACTTTTCATTGGCTACATGTCGATATTTTAACGTTATTATTATTAACTAATTGAGTTTAAATTGTCCCGTCTTTGATTTTATAAAATCGTAAATAATTTATTAGAATTATAATATTCGGTACAGATTATTGTCTTATTATTCGTCCTAGAGCTATTTAAAAACAATTTACCATATAAAAATAATAGATTAAACAGTGGTAACACTGTATATCCGTATCCGCTCAGATTCACCCCCGGCTCGAGCTCGATCGATCGATCACAAGCAAGCAAGTACAAGTACAGTAGATATTTGTCGCCATGCCACTTTTGTGCTCTGCTCTCTGCTGTTGTGAAGATCATTTTAATGTAAGTAAGGACCTATCCATATATCTTTATTTCTTACTCTCTATATAATACATTTTACAAGAACATAAAAACAAAATAAAATGTATTATATAAAAAATACAGCACCACCGGCTGCGGAATCCGATGACTCAAGCAACCAGTGGTCAGGGCTGCAGAGACAGGAACCTCCTCACTAGTCGTGCGGTTTCTAAAATAACCGCCTTTTAAATCGGGCTCTTGTTGGACGGTTTCTTTTCTCCGTCTGGGACTCTGGAGGTGTGGGGCTATTGAAACACTTTCTTCTAGTTAATCATCATTATATTTAAAATATCTGAACCATATTTTATACAAAGTCTATTAGTCCTACAATGTTACTCGGTACGTGTCGAGATGTGAAGTCTCAATATATATCATCAAATGTAGAATTCCTTATAATTTAAATTATATATTATTCTAATATTAAAAAAAACCATCCTCAGTGTGTACAGTGTTGCCTGCCAGTATACAAACATATAAAAACTCCAACACCCCCTCAACACTTTACACACTGTTAACCCCCTGTATAACATTTAATACAATACACCAAAAATAAAATATTCACTAACATGACTTTGTAAATTTACCCATACCACCATAAATACCTATTTGTACATTAACATTTTATAAACTCATACATGACATTACTACAACAGAACTTTATCAATTCTATAAAATATTTTTTTTTTCTCAATATATCCAAACTAATAACTTCCACCACTCAAACATATATATAAAATATTACCATCTTAGATTCCTCTTCACTTGTCCAACACCTACTCGAAACCTCAACCAAACATCTTTGACTTCCTCAACAGCCTATCTATCAACTGCTAAATCAACCTTTCTATCCTTTATTTAACATACTTAAACATCTCAAATTTTACTCAATATTAACCTCCTCAAAGTTACTTATAACACCAATCGCCTACTCAATTACACATTTAAAAACCTTAAACACCTTCTCAACTCTATATAAAGAACACCAATCTCCTACTCGATTCCTAAAACTACTTTAAGTTTATTTAAAAACCTTATACACCTTCTCGACTAGATCAACTTAACTTCCTTAAGTTCACTCATAATAAACACCAATCTCCTTCTCAATTTCTCAAACTTCTTTGAGTTTATTTAAGTTTATTTAAAAACCTTATACACCTTCTCGACTCTACATCAACTTAACTTCCTTAAGTTCACTCATAATAAACACCATTCTCCTACTCGACTCTATATAAAATTCTAAGTTTATTTTGAAACATCCTTATACACTTGTATACCTCATCCTTATACTTCTCAACTAAATAATAAATTCTTTCACTACCAATAATAAAAAAATTTAAACATTTCCCTCTTCATTGTTACATCCCTAAATTTTGTCATCTCTTTTCTTAAACCAACCACAATCAAATACTTTTATAATAAAACTAGACCAAAATTAAAACTATTAAATAAACCAACAAAAACACAAAGGAACAAAAAAAACTACTAAAGAGACATAACAAAATTTTCCAAAACAACTAAATGTTCTTTTCTAAAAATACTTAATACTTCACAACTTCGTCTAATGAAAAATAAACAATTATGTTACAATCACCCCCTTAATTATTTATTTTTAAATGAAAACACCCCCTTAATTTTTTAAATATCTGTCTATAGTTTCGTCCACTTGAACTCACCAATATTCTTAAATTTTCCACCAGTTTTTCATTTGTCTCATTGGCATTCTGTCATTTGTTTCAGCTTCAATTGTTTCATTCTATTTTTTTTTCTTTTCCAGTATCTATTTCTTCAAAACTTACAATTCTTCCTATTTCTTCTCGACTTTCATTTCCTGTACTCTCTCCCTCTCAATAATCTCTCCCTATACCATCACCTTCTCGAACTTCACAAACTCTGCTACTACTTTTCCTTCCAATATCTCCTTCTCGAAGTACTCACTACTTTCCACTTTCTTCATTCTTCAAATTAAATTTAGCTGAATCATAACAAACATGTAACAATAAAATTGTCTGTTAATTGCGAAGAGGTAAAGTATCTCTTTGCAATCGTATTGTGTAGATGAGAACATAACATTTTACCAAAAGTTCGTAAATAGTTTATATCTAATATAATGCACAGTTATTGAATTGAAATTCATAGGAAATTATCCATAATAGGACGGAAATTCAATACATCGGGAGGTTTGAAATATACTTCTATTTACCTTTCTTTCTTTTCTTGGTTTCAGATAGAGCAAGATACAGAAAATTATAAGAAATACAAGATGGCATTACTACATGGACTAAAATGGCACTAGGATTAAATAGAAGCACCGGTCGAAGACACTCTGAAGGCAGCAAGTCCCAGTGCCGCCTCAGAACCAGAATTTGATTTCTGGATGAGCTGATGATGCTAAGAGAGAACAAATTTCGGAAAAGAGAAAAAGTTATTTATGTCTATTTGAACAAGTCACATCATTACAAATATTCTTCTATTTCTCTTTACGAATCTTTCCCTTTCCCATCAGCAGTGGTTACCATGTGTGGTTCTTGAATGCGCTCGAAATCCTGGAACCATTGGCTTCTCATAATAGTGTGGCCTCTTTTTATAATACAAGGTGGCAAACAAGCAACTGGTTTCCTAATTCGGTTTTGGATTGATCAAGCTTTGAAAAAAAGTTTTGTAGGAAACAAATAAATGGTCGTTCATTAGCCAAATTATGGGTCTAAGTAAAATAGTTGAAGTTGTTATTTTAATAATTTCAAATATTTTGGATTGACTCAGTTGGTTATCGGTTAAACATTTAAAATTATATTGTTGTTTCAAATATTTAAAACTTCCTTGCCTTTGTTGCTAGGGACAGGACTGGAAAGATTACTGGGTAGAGTAGTGTCAACTGTCACCTATTTTGAACCAGCATAGTTCCAGTACCGCTATTTTAGTGTGTACCCGTTTTATTTTGGTGTTTTGAATTATTGCAATTTGAATTGTTAACATGAACCAAGCCAAAATTATAACTAGTCCCCAAGAGGTAAAAATTGAGAGGATAAGATTGATTTGAGAAGAAAACTTAAAATTATATTGTCGTTTCAAACATTTAAAACCACCTTGCGTTTCTTAAAAAATTCGGAAAAGAGAAAAAGTTATTTATGTCTATTTGAACAAGTCACATCATTACAAATATTCTTCTATTTCTCTTTACGAATCTTTCCCTTTCCCATCAGCAGTGGTTACCATGTGTGGTTCTTGAAAGCGCTCGAAATCCTGGAACCAACCGGTCGCTTTTCATAATAGTGTGGCCCTTTTTCCAAAATACAACGTGGCAAACAATCAACTTGTTACCAAATTCGGCTTTAAATTGTTCAAGTTTTGAACAAAGTTTTGTAGGAAACAAAAAAATGGTCGTCCATTTGCCGAATTATGGGTCTAAGTAAAATAGTTGAAGTTGTTATTTTAATAATTTCAAATATTTTGGATTGACTCAGTTGGTTATCGGTTAAACATTTAAAATTATATTGTCGTTTAAAATATTTAAAACTTCCTTCCCTTTGTTGCTAGGGACAGGACTGGAAAGATTACTGGGTAGAGTAGTGTCAACTGTCACCTATTTTGTACCAGCATAGTTCCAGTTCCGCTATTTTAGCGTTAGTTAGGTTGGGAGCCCAAAGTAAAGCGTTTTAAAAAAGATATGAAGACTTTATTTAATTAATAGAGAACTGCTCACGAGGAGCACTGCGGCGAACTGATTGTCTTTACAAATGTATTATACATGAAGAGATCCGAATACAATGAGATTCCTTATAAGCTATTCCCTTATCTTAGAATAAATGGCTTACAGTAAAAACTTGAACTTATGAAAACTTAATACTAGTTATGGCTACGTAACTCGTTTCAAATATTTAAAACTACCTTGCGTTTTTAAAAATTTCGGAAAAGAGAAAAAGTTATTTATGTCTATTTGAACAAGTCACATTATTACAAATATTCTTCTATTTCTCTTTACGAATCTTTCCCTTTCCCATCAGCAGTGGTTACCATGTGTGGTTCTTGAAAGCGCTCGAAATCCTGGAACCAACCGGTCGCTTTTCATAATAGTGTGGCCCTTTTTCCAAAATACAACGTGGCAAACAAGCAACTTGTTACCAAATTCAGTTTTAAACTGTTCAAGTTTTGAACAAAGTTTTATAGGACACAAAAAAATGGTCCTTTGTTTGCCGAATTATGGGTCTAAGTACAATAGTTGAAGTTGTT